CTGAGCAGCTGAGGAGACCGAGGTCCTACGGCGCGATGGCACAGCGCGCCACTAAGGTCTGTTCCGTTTATTTTTCCTTACTATTTTCGTGTCGAATTCTGGTTAAGTCTTTAACACATATTATTCTTTGCAGTTCGTAGCGGCTATCAACGAGCTGATGGTTGAATACGAGGCAGAAGGTCGAACGTCATTTGGACGAAGCTCGGAATGAGGCCGCAGCGGCAAAGGGAAAACTAGACGAGGCGATGACCAGGGTAAAGAGGCTGAAAGAGGAGAAGAAAGCTCTTCGCGCCGATGTCGACAAGGTATTCGCCTCCGTTATTCGCCTCGAGGAGGCCAGGAGAGCCAAAAGCGCTGAGGTGGCGTTACTTAAGAAACGTATCGAGGCCAAGGATGTCTTGTTTGACGCTAAGGTTAAGCGAACGAAGAAAGAGGCGAGGCGAGAGTTGACGGCAAAATTTCAGGAACGCCTTGCCAAGGTGGGAAGGTCTAGCCAAGCTTGAGAAGGCCAAAACTGACGAGAGCGAGCTGGGGCAGATCAAGGGCAATCTTGCTATGATCAACGACCTGAGGAAGCCGGACGGCCCGACTCTCGACGACGAAGAGGCGAAGTTAAAAGGTTGGGACAGCTGAACTCGTCCGAAGACGGGCTGCTACCGTACCCTTTGCAGGGATCAAGCCGTTCGTAGTTCATGTTGACCGTGTTGTAGTCTTAGTGATAATACTTCTTTTGGTGCATTGCGTTCCACGATCTTGGAATTGCTTCGTCAGCTACCGTCGCAAGTTCGTAGACTCTGGGTGAACCATTTTTGTAATCTTGTAAGGGTCTTCCCAATTTGCTCCGAGCTTTCCTGCATTCGTCTCGGTAGTGTTTTGGAATACTTTTCGAAGAACGAGTTCTCCTTCTTTAATCTTCGGGTTCGGACATTTTTGTTGTAGTATATCGCCGTTGCTTGTTGGTTGTTCTGGACTCGGATTAGAGTCTGGTCGCGCCTTTCATTGATTAAGTCGAGCTCATCCAGCATCATTAAATGATTCAAGCCCTCCTGTCCTGGCAGAAGTCTTCATCAAATTCCTGGGATATCCACCTCGGGGGGAATTACGCACTCTGTTCCATAGACGAGAGCGAATGGAGTTTCTCCAGTGGCTTGGCGCAGAGTAGTCCGATGCGACCAAAGGACTCATTCGACTTTGTCTGCCCATCGTCCTTTCTTGGCGTCGACCCTCTTTTTCAGGCTGTCTAAGATCGTCTTGTTGGCTGCTTCGGCTTGCCCATTTCCCTGGAGATATCTCAGCGTAGATTTGCTCAGACGAATTTTCCATTTCTTGCAGCTTCGAAGCGAGTTGAGATGAACTGGGACCCGTTGTCGGTGACTATCTCATAGGGGACCCCGTGTCGGCAGATGATATTTTTCCAGACGAAGTGTTCGACTTGAGCGTCATTAATGCCTGCGTAAGAATCGGCCTCCACTTATTTAGAAAAATAATCTGTAAGGACGAGCAAAAAACGCTTTTGCTTCGATCGATGTAGAGGCCTGACTATATCTATCGACCATCTCATGAAGGGATAAGGTGACAAAATCGACGACAGCAGCTCGGTAGGTTGATGAATTGTAGGCGCGTGACGTTGACACTTCTCACACTTCGCCGTAAACTTCTCGGAATCCTTTACCATCGTAGGCCAGACGTAACCGTGCCGTTTTTTCTTGATCGCGAGTGACCTTCCGCTAGAATGATTTCCACATGTCAACGGCGAGTGCACCTCATGCATTATCTTTCTTGCTTCCGATCCCTCAACACATGTCATTGGCGGTCCTGAAAATCTCCATTTGAATCCCTCAACACCTCCGTCGACGACGACGTATCGTGCGGCTTGAGCCCTTAATTTACGGGCTTCCCACTTGTTGGGTGGTACTTCTCCATCGGTGATGTAGACTCGGGTAGTTCCGAGCCATTCTTTGTCGCAGCCGTATTCCAGCTCGGTTAGCGAGGCGTCTTCTTCCATAGCGATTGCTTCGCCGTTCTCTGGTTCTTCTTCAGGAGGATTGATCAGCCAAACTCCTTCTACCTCCTCTATACTTGGACGTTCGATGAATTCAACTGGAATTGTTCGACGGAGATCCGGGTCTGAGGTCGAAGCAAGTGCTGCTAAGACGTCTGCCGAGGTGTTTTTGCCTTGGGGTATTCGTGTGAGTTCGAACTCGTCGAACTTTCGAACCAAATCTTGGACTACTCTAAGGTAAGCTCCCATTCTTCAATCCTTCACCTCGTACTCTCCGTTAAATTGACATGCTACGAGCTGTGAATCGCAAAAAGCTCTTATTTTTTGAACTTTGATTCCCTGCGCTAGTCGTAGGCCAGCAATTAGTGCTTTGTACTCCGCTTCGTTGTTCGAGGCGTGGAAGTTCAGGCAAAAAGACTGCTCCAATATTTCTCTGGTGGGAGAGTTGAGGCGGATTCCTATTCCCGAGCCGTGTTTAGATGATGAACCGTCGACGTGTAGCATCCAAACTTCGTCTGGGATTGGTTCGGTCGTCTCCTCGGTCGGAAGTTCGATGAGAAAATCTGCGAGCACTTGTGATTTTGCAGATGACCTGTTCCGATACTCGATGTCGTACTCTCTCAACTTTATGGCCCATTTGGCGAGCCGCCCAGACTGGCTCGGGCTGTGCAGGATCGAGCGCAGCGGAAGGGTAGCGACCACAATAATCGAATGTGATTGGAAGTATGGATGCAGCTTGCGAGCCGATACCACAACGGCTAAAGCGACCTTCTTGATCTGGGGGTAACGGGTCTCGGCATCGGTCAGTGTCTGACTGACGTAAAAGATGGGTTTCTGTTTGGATCGCTCTTCTCTTATCAGCACCCCGCTCACGGCCGTAGCGGATACAGCGATGTAGAGGAAGAAAGGTTCTCCTTCTACTGGTTTCGCCAAGACCGGCGGGCTCGCCAGATAACTCTTCAACTCCTGGAAAGCTGCTTCGCATCGTTCGTCCCACTCAAACTTCTTATTTCCTCGGAGGATGTCGTAGAAAGGCAAGCACTTATCGGTAGAACGGGAGATGAATCTGTTCAGCGCGGTGACTCTTCCTATGAGCCTTTGAAGTTCTCGCTTCGTTCTTGGAGAGGGCATCTCGACTAGTGCCTTGATCTGCTTGGGATTCGCTTCAATGCCTCGGTGAGTCACCAAATAGCCGAGGAACTCTCCCGAGGTGACCGCGAATCTGCACTTCGCCGGGTTCAGTTTCATGTTGTGTTTGTTCAATTGCTCGAAGCATTCCCGTAGGTGCGCGACATGGTCTTTTTCTTCGATCGATTTGACCAACATATCGTCGATGTATACCTCCATGGTTTTTCCGAGCTGATCTGCGAACATCTTATTGACGAGCCGTTGGTATGTTGCCCTCGCGTTCTTGATTCCGAACGGCATGACTTTGTAATAGTATATCCCGCGATCGGTTATGAACGCCGTTTTTCCTCTGTCATCGGGATGCATTAGGATTTGGTTATAACCTGAAAACGCGTCCATGAACGTTAAGAACCTATTTCCTGCAGTGGCTTCGACGAGCCGGTCTATGTGCGGTAGAGGGAAACTGTTTTTTGGGCACGCTTTGTTGAGATCAGTGAAATCTACACAGACTCGCCATTTCCTGTTCTTCTTCTTTACGACCACTGGATTCGCGAGCCAGTCTGGGTACTTTGCCTCGGCAATTGAGCCTACTTTGAACAATCTTTCCACTTCGTCGTTAACTGCTTTAGCTCGTTCAGGTCCGAGCTTCCTCCTTTTTTGCTTGATTGGTTTGAAGGTTGGGTCCACGTTCAGCTCATGACAGGTCACGTCGATGCTTGTGCCTGGCATGTCCTCCGCTGTCCAGTCAAAGGTGTTGATATTCTCCTTGAGGAGGGAAATGAGTTCGCTTCTCAGAGGTTCTTCTAGCTTAGTTCCGATCTCGACGCGCCTTTCTGTACGCGCTTCGTCTATGCACACCGAGTTCACCGCATCACATTCCAGCTTGGTGCACGTTTCACGGCTCTCCGCGATCTGTAATTGCTATAAGAGCTTTAAGACCTCGTTCGCGGGCTCTGGGTCTGTCTTCAGCTTTTTGTGATCTACGTCTGCTCGTGCGTCGGTGACGGAGTTCCTTAACTTGTGCTCTGTTAAGAAACACGTTCGCGACTCCTTCTGATTTCCCCAAATCGTTTTGATGCCTGCTGGAGTTGGGAATTTGAGGCAGAGGTGATAGGTGGAGGGAACCGCCCTCATCGCATTGATCCATTGAGTCCCCATAATCACATTGTAGATTGCTGGATGGTTGGTGACAGAGAATTCGACGATCTTAGTGACTCCACCGGCTACCACAGGGAGCCTAATTGTGCCCATCGTCATTGTTGTTTCTCCTGAAAATCCGGTTAGAGGTTTGGGGACCGCCGTCACCTCGGAGAGATCGATTCCCATCATTCTGAGTGTCTCCCTGAAAATGACATCCACCGAGCTCCTGGTATCGATGAGTACTCTTGCTACATCGTGGTCTCTGATCGTTAGCTTGATCACTAGTGGATCGTTGTGCGGTCTATCTATCCCTGCCGTTTCCTCTTCGGCGAAGGAGATTACCGTGTTCGGGATATCGGTCGGTTCTGTCCAATTCTCCTTTGCTTCGGCTCGACGCTGATAGGCTTTGATGGAAGACACCGTGTCTTGGTAATATTAGGATCCTCCCATGATTTTGTTTATTCTTTTTCTTGGCTCGGGTCGCTCTTCAGGTTCACCTCTTCTGTCGCGCTTGGTGTTGTCGCCTCGCCGTGGAGGATTTGCGGGTTCTGTCGCGCCGTTCGGCTCGGTTCCCTCTTTTGGCTCAGTAGGGACGAGGTCCTTAAGATTCACCGCGCTTTGGAGCTCTTCCGCCGCCATTTTAGCCGCGAGTTTGGCTCCTAGGGTTCGGCATTGCGACGTCAAATGCCCGTAGGTTTGATGGTACTCACAGAATGCCTTTTCGTCGTAGTTAGTGGGTCTCCTTACCCAAGTGTTGCTGCGCGGTTCTCCTCTTCCGCGTCCAGCGCCTACTTGATAGTTGTGGGCGCCTCCGCTTCTTGGTTCCTCGGAGCTCTGTGTTGTTGTGTTGTTTGACGGGTTTCCTTTCTTCAAGGATCGCTGCTTTCGTTGCTTTGTACTGCTCATCCAGATTTTTCATCTCCTTCTCGTTTATGACGAAGTCTGATGACCGATGTAGGGCATCTTGAATCGTTTGTGGCGTGTTGAGGGCCATTTCCCGTCGGAATTCAGATTTGTACCATAGAGACCGCTTCAGAGCCTCGAGTGCAGCCTTGTCGCTTATTCCTTCTACTTTAGATATGACCGCCTTGAATCTCGCCATGTAGTCCCGAAGCGGTTCGTTCGGTCCTTGGGATAACGTCCATAGATCGGCATCGGAGGTCCCTCGATTCATGAACATCGAGTATTGCTTGAGGAACATAGCGGAGAGCTGTTGGAAACTGCCGATTGAATTGTGCTCCTGTCTTGAAAACCATTCGAGCGCGGCTCCTTTGAGATCCTCTACAAAGAGCAGGCAATATCCGGCATCTACCTCTCGTTCGGTCAGATTGGCGGCGTTTCTTGTGAATGCTCGTCCTATTGCTATCCGAAACGCTGTGATGTGCGCCTTCGTGTCAGCTGTACCTTCGTAGAATGGGATTCTTACTTTCCCGGGCTCGGGAATCTTTGCCTCCGTGATTCTTGCCGTGAACGGTGTTCTTTGGGTTTGTTCAAGCATTCGATCAATCTCGGGCGCGGCACTTGTCACGTTATGCACTTGGGATTTCATGGCGCGTATCTCGGCCACTGTCCGAGCCATCGAGGCTCGCAGCTCTTCGATTTTGAGGGTTTGTGCGCGAGTCATTCCCTTCGATTGGCGAAGTCGCTCCCGCTCTTCTCTCCTAGGCTCGTCTTCGCGCTCTGCATGCTCGACCCATTGGAGATTTTTCTCTTCTTCAGTCGGGTTGTCGCCGCGAGCCGGGTCGGTGACTCCATCAGTCCGAATGCCGTTTAGTGCCGAGGCAAGCTCTTCTTGGCTTATTCGCCGAGCCGAGCGATTTTGTTGCGAATTCGTGGTTCCATCGTGATATTCTCATATTTTTTCATGTTTAGGATTGCATTTTTGTCCAAATATTGAGTCTCATGCATACATTTAGGTAGTTTTACATATATTTGTCTTTGCTTTTGTCTTTAGTTAGGAATTGCATTAGGTCCTAGAGAGTTTTGAACTTTTGGAGTGTTTACAGGTCATTTGGAGCTAATTCGGAGCAATTGGGACAAAAGCCATGGAGAGACCATCACCTTATGTGCATCAGACTCGGACAAGTGTTATAGAGCCGACAATCCCTCAACTTGATCACCTGAGAAAGAGGACTTTCATCAGGATTCAGCCTCCGAAGTCTTCATAAAGAATCAAGAGCGTCGAGTCTAGTTTCCAGAACACGTTAGATCGTCCTATTTGCAGTTTTGAGCTGAAAGTTACAGCGATAAGAAGCAGTACATGTCTCGGAGCGGATAATGGACCAACGCAACGCGCATCAAAGAACCGGTGGAACGGAGCCCTTTCCGACGTCATTTGAACCGGAACCCTTCACCAACGTTCTAGATAATTGAGTTATCTTTCCAATGCAGTTGAAATCATGCCATTTGGAGCTATATCCTGGAAGTTACTCTCCCCTCAATGCAAAGTGGATCGAGAAGGCTTAGGTTGTGCGATACGGTACTGCGACTTGATTAACTCGCACCCATGAATGTTCAACGCTCTGGAAACAAGTTGAGACTTTAGAGATGAGTGTAAGGAGACTCTGATCAAGGTAGAGACTTCCACAATCAAATTTGAGTAAGTCCACAATGCTGTGCGAGATAGACCTGCGAGTTGGACATGAAGTGGAACCATGTAGCACATGTGTTCGCAAATTACACCGACTTGGGCATGCGACTTGGACAAGGAAGTGACCATCTCGCACACATATTATCTCCATAATGCGTCCTGGTTGTGCGAGTTGAAGAGAAGGAAGTCTGAGCAGCACAAACATTCGCTGTTTACACCTAGATAGGCATGCGGCTGAGGCTGAGGGATTTATGGCGCACAAGGCTGCTTCTATGGCTGTGCGACTTGGGCCTGCAACTTGGGAAGCACCTGACCATGTCGCACACTTGACACATGACCCATTTGAAGCCGGGTCAGTACCCAGTTTGTCCTGGGCTGACCCGGTCTGCAAGAGACACTATATATGCTTTTTAGGGTTTTTTCCAAGACTTAAGCTTTGTTTTCTCTTCTTTCTCTTTCCCTTTTTGTTAAAAAACGAGTTTGTTAAGAGATATCTCAAGGATTTAATCAATCTAAGTCTGTTTCTTATCATCTCATCTTCTTATCTTTGCTTCTAATCATGATTACCATCACCTCTTGCAAAGGATTAGGTGTGTTAAGCATGATTAGTGAGTAGTCTTCTTTTAAGCTTCTAGGTGTGTGTTTGATTTATGATGTTTAGGTTCTAGATTCTCATTTCCTTTCCTTAGTTAGCTGTTCTTAATGCTAGATCTCTCATTATAAGCTTGATCTAGAACTTAGGCATCTCTCCACCCACAAGGTGTTTGATGAAATGCCTGAATGAGCTAACTTAAGGGTTTATGTTTTAAATGCCATGGGAATGTTTGTTTAAAGCATAAATGACATATTAGAACTGTTTATTAATGCATATTGATCATCATTACCACTAATGAGAGTTAGGTTTGAATGCTGATTAGTATAGTGATCATTGTCTTGGGAAAGAAATGGTCTTGCTTTGAGTTCTAAGTTGATTGGAATTTGAGATCATGTGATGCTTGTTTTGTCTTTCTGTATAAGATTCAGTCTTTCTTAAGTCTTATTTTGATGCACAAAGAGGCTGTCTGGTCATTTTAGACTTGGAACCTTATGCTTGTTGATTGCTTATTCATCTAATGGGAATTAGTATTGATTTGGTAATTAACAAATGGATTTTTGTCATGAGAATGAATTAATCTTATTTGGAAGTCTAGACTAAAGAATTGCAAGTGTTGCATTGTTTGCTTAACATCATGAATTCACATTTAAAGCACCATAATCAATGATCACATCTAGAGGTTTAGCTTTCTCTTTATTTGAATTTGGGTCTTTGTTTTGTTTGTCTTGCTTGCTTGTTTAATTCTTAATTACTGCTTGTTCTTGTTTGCTTTATGTTTTTAGATCACCTTGTTACCAACTCATCTGCTTATTAGACTTGAATTAAGATAGCTACTCCTAGTTCTAGTGTCTAGAATCTCTCCATTTGGATTAATACCTCAAGTGCTACAATGACATGAGTAGTTGAGGAATTGATCAAGGATTGAAAAATTCTTACTATCACATCGTTTTGTTGGGCGTCCACGTCGATCACGTCGTTCTCCTCTTCGTTGGCTCATCGTCTTGAGTTCCGACGGAGTGGAGGCGGCTCGGTCATATTGATTCGGGTTGCCGCGGGAGTCTGTTCGCCGAGGGGACGAAACATTGGTGGAGCCAAGGGGTTTCTTGTGCTGTTACCCGAGGCTTCTGCAGGCGTTGAAAAATCGAAACGTCTCCGGAGTCCATCCATCGGATCGGAGACTCCGGCTCTCCAAGTCGGGTGTTTTCGCTCAGCCGTCATCGCGTCGAGCCTTTCCGTAATCGCCTCGTTCTTTTTGTCCTGTTCGTCGATCTTCTTTATCAACGTAGCCATCAAGTTTTGCATCTCCTCTTGGGTTTCAGTTGTCGCCGTTGTCGTGCCTGACGGTGGAGCGTCTTTCTCCACGCCATTGTTGTTGTTGTTGTCGTCGGGGGTGTTACTTGCCATGTTCTTCAGATTTTAAAGTCTTGTCGATTTAGAGTAAGAAAATTTTGTCGTCCCCACAGTCGGCGCCAAATTGTGTGAGCCGAAACTCGCACAACCAAAAATTTGTTAAGGAAAGCTTAAGGGATCCAAAATTTCTAGGGTTTATCGCAAGAACGGTAAGATCAAAAGAAAGTTTTTGCTGGAAAAGTGTTTAAGTCTTTATTGCTTAGGGTTGTAAAAATTACATTGTGAATGAAATACATCGTCTATTTATACAAGCTCTCTAAACCGCCTAGCCGAGAATTTCGGGAGAGATTTTCGGAATATTTCCTTATCGCTTCGTGCGGCTGCCATCACAATACTTCGCCTAGGGTTCTTATGAGTTTACCACCTCCCAGGCTTCGGTTCGGCCCAACACAGGAGGAAACGGCTCGGCCCATTTCTCTTCTTGCACGGCTCGGCCCAGTCTTCGTTTTCCTCACGGCTCGGCCCACTTGGTTCGTAAATCGGCTCGGTTCATGTCTGGCGGGTGGCTACTTTCGCGAAATCGGTTTTCCTCGGTACCTGGCCGTTTTCGAGATGGTTTGACCGAGGAGGGGTGAAATCGACCCCAACAAAAGGTTCTCGGGACCTATGAAGATCATGATATCGAAGATGCTGCTGTCAGAGTACAAGTTGATGCACTGAAACCTATGATTCAACGTCAGTCCATCCAATTCCCATCTGGTGTGGAAGTTTCAGTGATGTCCGAGTACACTAGACTCGAGAAGCATTGCTTTATCTGTATGTCCATGTCCCATGAGAAAGAGCATTGTCCCCAAGCCAATAAAAGTAGAAACTTCAACTTGGGGAACTCTCACATCAATAACCATCACACTCTACAAAGATTGGAATCTGATCAACAAAAGAAGGAGGAGAGAAGAGGCCTCCCTGTTCAGTCCCGCGTTGCTTCGGACAGAAGGAAATCTGACAGGGCTCCTGATCTTCTGATGCAGACATCAACCCATCAAGACGACTCATGGTGATCTCAACACTTGGAAGAACTAGGTGCAACAGACATGAGAGTCTAGCCAAGGGTAAAGGAGACGATCTCCCTTGTTAAACAAGTTATTGGTGAAGGGGAGACAACTGTCTTTAATTTGTTCTCTCTAGACTCCTATCCCATCACCAAGAAACCATTAGATCACTCAATCTTAACCGGACCAAACCAAAGAGGAGGCAACCAATCTATTGAAGACTCTGCTCAACCCAAAAAGAGCCACGAGCCTTGTCCAGGCCAAATGAAGTCCAAGAACAAGTGTTCCAGCCCAACTACCACTTGGATTACATTCCTAGCTCAGCCAGAGCACGCCTCAAAGTGGAATCAGTCCAATTGGAGTTCAGATGAAGGAGATATTAAGTTTATAAATCGAGTGATCCTCAACTTACCCGATTTAGACATATCCGCCTTAATTAAAGAAATCCAACTAAAAAAAGAGGAATTAATCTGTAAACCGACCTTTTATGGAACTTGACTCATCAGAAAATCACGGAGAATTGGAATTAGACCGAGATCAATTTTGGTTTAGGAGATATTCAATCTCTAAACTAATGGATCCCCCACTTGCTTTATTTGGAACCTTCCGGGTTTTGGAGACTTCAAACATGTCAGTGGCGCCCATGAGACTCTGAGTTACTTCTGAAGCCTTCAACAAAATCCTAAGGTGCACCAACACGCATTAGATCAGGCGGATCCAATTGTATCTTCAATTGAGACAAACCGAGCCATTTATGGCAATTATAAGAGTCAACCGGTTTAATTTAACACAGAACCGACTTTGGCGACCAGGAGACTTCATTTACCAATCAAAGGGTCCAAATATTGTCCCCCCCATGCACCAGAACTCACAGGATCAGGCGGATCCTTCTGCAACTTCACTTGCCATATATAGATGCATTCACACTTGGAGCCATAACTCTCCAACGGCTCTTTTCCTTTGAATGCTACGACTTGGGAGTATTTTATGAAGATAATAATGTTCCAGAAAAGCTAACTTATCCCCTAAAACCGTCCAGATACAAAGGCATCATCACATTTTCATATTTGGCCGAGATTCACTCATTTAGAGCCTAACGGCTAATTTTTGATTAGCTTTGATTTGTTTCTTTGTCTTTAGCATTTTAGAACGTGTAAGAGAATTATATAAGCTCCTCTTAGTCCATTGTAAAAACTCACCTTTCAATCAAATCAATACAGAAGTTTTGTATTGTCTTTCAAAGTGTGTCCTTTGAAGAATTGTTCTTGTCTTTTGAATATTAGTGTGAGATTCACTCCTATTCATTAGAATTTTGCGGATAGCTTTGTTTGTGAGATTCAAACAAACTTATTCGTTCATAGATTGAGAGAGTCTATCACCCTCGATTGAGAGAGTCAACCAAAACCACCATCCTTCATCTCTATCATCGCCCACTTCCGCATAAAACTTGTTTTCTTTGACAACTTTGTGAATTATAAGATTTAGTGTGATTCCAATCTTATATCATTTGGTATCAGAGCACAAGTTCTTATCAAAATGTTTTTGTTCTTATCTTTTGCTTTTTGTTATTTCTGTTTCAGTTTTTTTGGTTCACTATAAAATCAAAAACCCATAAAAACTTGTTTCAATTATGTTTTCATTGATTTTGTTATTTCAATTTTTCATAAAAAAAAACCGTAAAAAAATTTGTTTTTGTTTCAGTTTTGATTCTTTCACTGTTATTTGATTTAAAAAAAAAAGAATCTGAAAATCCATAAAAAGTTATTTGTTTTGTTATTTGAATTTTCATAACTTAAAAGAAAATAGAATTTTCATAACTTTCAAAAAAATAGAATTTTCTCTTTTGTTTTTGAATTTTCGATTTTTTTTATAGTCAAAATTATTTTCCATTTGATTTGTTACATTGTTTAGTTTTGTAATATTTCCCTTAATAAAAAAAATCAGAAAGAAAATTTTGCTTTTGCTTTTTTTTTTAGTTGTAGAGATCTTTTGTTTTTAAAAGAAAGAAAACCAAATAAAAAGTTAAATTCATATGTTCTCAATTTTGTCAAAACAAAAAAAAAATCTGTTTTCCTTTTTCTTGGTAGTCGAATTACCTTGTTTCCTTTTATTTGGTCGTGTCTTCAATATTGCAGATATTTATTTTTGTGGACCATTGAATCACGCTTCTGATTATCTCTTGTCTCTTTCTTGCGAGGTACAACTCTAAGGCTAGAGAATTATGGAGTTTGAAGACGAAGCCAACAAATACAACACATCCGAAATTGATTGGGCGAGGAACCGTATGATTCACGAGAAGGAGGAAGAGCATACGAAGACCAGTCATGTTATGAAGAAACTGATTCTTATATTAGTTATGGGAGTGGATCAGAACGTGAAGAAGAAGACTCACAGATGGAAGACGCTGATTCCCAAATCAATCATGGAGATGAATATGAGAATTCTGAAGGAGATGACCATGAAGGAGATTCATGGCAGGGAGAGAATGAATATCAGCTCAGTCAAAGAGAGGGGGATCACAAAAGTGAGCAAGAACACAGAGAGTTCACTCATGAAGGAGATCGTGATCAGTTCATAAAACAATACCAAAGGCGTTGGTATGAAGAATCTGATTCTCAAATCAGTTTAGGAGATGGTGATCCATATAATGATGAGCCTTGGAACGTAGGGGCTGATCCAAAAGGAGGTTATGTTGATGAATTGGGGTTTGAAAAGCAGGTTCAAGAACCAAAGAAAGCAAAAATCAACTACACCATTGATGATGAGTCTTGTGATGAGCCAACAGATGATGAAGCAGCTTGTGAGCCACGCCACGTCTATTTTTTAAGTCATGAATAAGGACCAGAAGCTTACCTACAGTGGGGGAGCGAAATGGAGTACATGATGAGGTCACAAAACATTTCTAAGGATCAGAAACTTTCATACGCACTTGACTCGCTTGTTGGAGAAGCTACTACATGGTGGGAACAAAAAGAAGTTGTGGCCAATTATAATAAGTCTACCATCACTTGAGGTAATCTCAAGCAGCGTACGTATTCAAGCAGCATATGTATAGAGAGTTTTTACAGAAGTCCCACAACCCGCAGCTACAATCCCAAGAGGCTAATGTTCCAAACAGCTACAAAGAGGTGGATGTCTACACCAAAATCACAGCCTGTTTCTAAGTCAAAGAAAGCTTGCGGTTCTGAGCCAAAGAAAGTGTCTCAAAGCACTTTGGAAAAGAAGTCAAAGGCTGAGAAACCAGTGGCAACCACAGAAGTTAAACCAAATCTAAATCCTCCAATCACAGCTCACAAGGGAAGCACAAAACCGAGACTTGAGCCACAAGGCAAAGCAAAGCAATGTAAGTTTTCTAAAACTCTTAAGATAGAAATCACAATCTGTTATAGATGTCATAAGAGAGGACATTTTGCTAAGACGTGCCCATCTAGAGAATTAGAAACTACTTCATCAGTTGATCAGACAAAAGAAGAAGTCAAAGAAGTAGAGAAAGAGGAGTTGCATTTTCAAGTTTCCAATTCAGATATGATGTGCTTGTCTCTGCCAAGGGTTATTAATGCAGGTTTAAATCATGGAGAGCATCACTATGAAGAGATCAAGACGTGCCAGCCTACCACTGAAAAATATGAAGTTTTCACTAGCTTCACTCCGATCCAAGAGGAGCCACCAGATCCTACATTGAATCCAAATATCGTGGCAACAAAAGAAACAGAACTAATCGACAGTTCTGATCAGGTAAGTAACACATTTTTCACATTTATTTCTCATGATTCTAAATATGTGATAATGAATTTGCTATATTCAGAGACGTGTGAGAAAGTTACAGCACCCATTTCTTCTATAAAACAAAAAATTGTGAACAACATGTTGCTTCACATAAAATTAATGAAATGGTCCAACCTGAATCATGTTTCTCTGTTTTTAGTAATACCATGACTGCTATAACGCACTTGTGTTTTGTCAAAGGTGGCAAGAACATTGCAGGTATAGAAGAGAAGCAACAAGAGCCCAAACCACCAAAGATCAATGGTGTTAACAAATGTGAAAAAATGGATTTCACAAAGATGAATGTCCTGCCGCCAAAGAAAGTCAACAACAAACCTTTGAGAGGAGTCATTTTCTATTTACTGATCAAAGAAGAACCACCATACAATCCAAAGCAATCCCACCTGAACCGAGATGGAGAAAGGACCCAAGGTAAATTTCTAGACTCACATCTTTACCATGATACTAACTTGCTCTATCTTTGTGCAGATGATCTAATTTCGAGGACGAAACTTTTTCAAGAGGGAGGGTATGATGCGGACATCAACCCATCAAGATGACTCATGGTGATCTCAACACTTGGAAGAACTAGGTGCAACAGACATGAGAGTCTAGCCAAGGGTAAAGGAGAGACGATCTCCCTTGTTGAACAAGTTAATGGAAAAGGGGAGACGACTGTCATTAATTTATTCCCTCTAGACTCCTATCCCATCACCAAGAAACCATTAGATCACTCAATCTTAACCGGACCAAACCAAAGAGGAGGCAACCAATCTATTGAAGACTCTGCTCAACCCAAAAAGAGCCCCGAGTCTTGTCCAGGCCAAAAGAAGTCCAAGAACAAGTGTTCCAGCCCAACTACCACTTGTATTACATTCCTAGCTCAGCCAGAGCACGCCTCAAAGTAGAATCAGTCCAATTAGAGTTCAGATGAAGGAGATATAATGTTTATAAATTGGGTGATCCTGAACTTACCCGATTTAGACATATCCGCCTTAATTGGAGAATTCCAACTAAACCAAGAGGAATTAAGCTTTAAACCAACCTTTTCTGGAATCTTGACTCATCAGAGAATCACGGAGAATTGGAATCAGACCGAGATCAATTTTGGTATACGAGATATTCAACGTCTAAATAAATGGATCCCCCACTTGCTTTATTTGGAACCTTCTGGGTTTTGGAGATTTCAAACATGTCAGTGGCGCCCAGGAGACTCTGAGTTACTTCTAGAAGCCTTCCAAAACATCCTAAGGTGCACCAACACGCATTGGATCAGGCGGATCCAATTGTATTTTCAATTGAGATAAACCGAGCCATGTATGGCAAGTATGAGAGTCAATCGGTTTAATTCAATACAGAACCGACTTTGGCGACCAGGAGACTTCATTTACCAATCAGAGAGGTCCAAATATTGTCCCCCCATGCACCAGAACTCACAGGATCAGGCGGATCCTTCTGCAACTTCACTTGCCATATAGAGATGCTTTCACACTTGGAGCCATAACTCTCCAATGGCTCTTTTCCTTTGAATGCTACGACTTGGGAGTATTTTATGAAGATAATAATGTGTCAGAGAAGCTAACATATCCCCTAAGACCATCTAGATACAAAGGCATCATCACATTTTCATATTTGGCCTAGATTCTCTCATTTAGAGCCTAACGGCTAGTTTTTGATTAGCTTTGATTTGTTTCTTTGTCTTTAGCATTTTAGAACGTGTAAGAGCATTATATAAGCTCCTGTCCATTGTAAAAACTCACCTTTCAATTAAATCAATACAGAAGTTTCTTATTTTCTTTCAAAGTGTGTCCTTTGAAGAATTGTTCTTGTCTTTTGAATATTAGTGTGAGAATCACTCTTATTCATTAGAATTCTGCGGATAGCTTTGTTTGTGAGATTCAATCAAACTTATTCGTTCATAGATTGAGAGAGTCAATCACCATCGATTGAGAGAGTCAATCAAAACCACCATCCTTCATCTCTATCATCGCCCACTTCCGCATAAAACATGTTGTCTTTTGCAACCTTGTGAATTATAAGCCTTGGTGTGATTCCAATCTTATATCATCCTCGATACGAGTCGTCTCGGGATCTCATTCCTAGCTCTCGACTATCTGCAGAGCGACATAATTAATCTGGTAATTGGAGAAGCCGCTCTCCTCCACACCGAGACCAAATCAGAAGACCATCTCCTCGAGGTATGAAATATAGACGAAGCCCTGAGGTTCTCCCACTGCCACCTCCTCCTCGCTACAGAGCAGATTCCTCTGTTTCTAATACCGAATACAGAGGTTCAGACTCGAGGTACTACAGGGATTGCTCCCCTGTCAGTGGTGATAGACATCGCTCCCCGCCTAGAACTATGAATAATAGACGAGCACCTATTCACCATCTCGACAAATACAATAGTTGATCCCACAATGACTCCGAATCCCGTGCCTCCAATGATTACCCAACTTATCACAGGGATTAAGACTCTTGCCGGAAAGATTCCGAAGCTCCCCGACGATCTGAACCCCATCGAAGACCACCATTTCAGAGATATGAGGAGGAAGAAGGGGAAATCCAGCCACATTCCAGCAACCGTTGTCGAGAAAATTCTCCGCACTCTCATACCAATGCCAACACCATCTCCAACACTCCTCGCGATGCCGATATCTTGGAGAACTTGAGCAGTGGAAAACGTAAGTCGGCTCTGGATCGGGTGACATTTCCACAGTCTCGCGATGTCCAGTCTCACCTAACTCTGAATGCTGATAATGAGAGAGATTGGATCGATGATGATGACATGTTGGGTTCTCCGATTCGAGACAGGGAAGACGGCAACAGTAGACTGCTTGCTAAGCTCACTCACTCCCGCGATAAGTTCCACAGGTACAACTCTGACACTGAAGCCTCACCTGAAGCTACCATTCTGGACCTGCCTCCTCTGAATGGAGAAAGGATTCCGACAGCTTTCAGGTTAGGTCCTCGAACAATCCCGGTGAAGCAAAGGTTGGGAACAACAAAGAAGACTACGCCAAAACGGAAGCAATCTAAAGCTTCTGCTTAGTCGATTGAAAAAAGCCTGATGGGATCAGCATCCAAAAAGCTGGTTTCCCACAGTCCTCTGAAGGGTGGCAATGCAAAACACAGAGTTATTACAAAGAAAAATTCGCCGAGGAAGAGAGCCAACATAACCGGGTCAATAAAGCATCCACCAACTAAGAAATCCAAGGCTTCTTCTTTGCTTGTTTACCTCGTGCAGAGGATTCTAGAGATGCTTTTGTTTCTTCTATTTCTAAGGTCTTAGTGCCTTCTACTTGTAAGGGTTCGATGGTTTCCTGAAAATCATCCGTTTCTCAATGACTACAACCAGTTGGAACTGTCAAGGACTTAGAAACTCCCTTACAGTTCGACGCCTTAGGGAATTAAGACGCAGTCTTTTCCCGGATATAACGTTTTTCATGGAGACAAAAAACCACGATGAGTTTGTCTTCAGCGTATGTCAAATGATGGATTACGAACACAAATTTACGGTTCCACCGATTGGACTTAGTGGTGGTCTAGCACTGTTTTGGAAAACGGACGTCCAGCTCGAAATTCTATCATTTTCTCCAAACTTTATCGACACCAAGATTAAGTACAAGTCAAAGTCACTCTATCTTACCTTCGTCTATGGTCATCCGATGAGCCAAAGATGACAAGAGGTTTGGAATCAAATCTCGGACTTAGGTGCTTCTAGGGATTTGGCTTAGCTTCTTTCAAGGGACTTTAACGAGATCCTCGACAATTCAGAGAAAAGAGGAGGCCTCCGAAGACATAAAGGATTGTTTATAAATTTCTGGACCTTTATTTCAAAAAATGGTCTTTGGGATGTGAAACACTCAGGAAATCCGTTATCTTGGCGTGATATGAGGTATGACCACTTTGTCAGGGGTAGACTAGATCGAGCTATGTGTAATGATGCCTGGCTGGAGGATTATCCCTCGGGGAGATCTGAATACCTCAGATACGAAGGCGCAGACTACTGGCCACTGGTCACCTTTCTCGATGATTCTAGAGTCAAGCGGAAAGGCATATTCCGCTTTGATAATAGACTTCATGTTGAAGTTGGATTTAGGTCAAATCCGGCCCATACTTCGAATGAATAACCACATCAACCTTTTTGGGCTTCAAGGCCCATAACGAAAGGAGAAAGGATCTTGGAAGGATATTCAATAGGACGTGACGAGCTATGAGGACGAGGAATCATGGATAAGAGGAAATCCCAAAGATCTCGTAGAGATCGCAACGCCCCGTAAATCCCGAAGTAGTTCGAGTCGGTCTACTTAGTATAAATAGGATATCGCTTCTATGTAAAAATCCATCCAATTTTTAGCTAGAAACATTCTTGTAAACTTATAATCTCATCAATACAATCCAAATTCGTCGATCTTAGTCTTTTAGTTTACATCGCTCTTACCAGAATTCTTGCCCTAATTCTTCTTCCACTAAACCAAACACTAAACCTTTGAGTGTGGATTTTAGGATCCACATTTTGGCGCCGTCTGTGGGGAAGAATCAAAGAAATTCTTACACCTGAGACCGATCTCAAAGACAAGTAAGAACGAAATGGATCCCAAAAACACTGAGACATCTGGTCGAAGGACAAGCTCTGCCCCCGCGCTAAACCCTAGAACTTCGGCTCTCCGATCTGGAAATGCCGAAATCACCGGAGCGCAGAGCTTATCCGGCCAGAAGCAAACGGGTGAATCGAGCGTCATGAATCCGACACCCAGCTCGACTCAAACTACAACCCCCAGCGTGACACGTACTGTCGGAATAACCACGGTGTCTCGCTCAGATCCCAGACCGCCACCGCTACACACGTACTCACGGACCTGGACAAGATCTGGAATTTCACAGGTCAGATCCACCAGTTTGGACCAACCGGACTGGACCGTCCCAAACGGTAACCGGTGATGACTTGGCAGAATTTCGAAGGATGTTAGCCTTCCTAGCCGAGCAAGTCCGCGAACAACGAGCTATCCTCGCGCGAATTGAAAAGGAGATAGCCAACATCTGAAACAGAGCGGGCACAGCCAGCTCCAACTGACGATGAAGACCCATATGATCTATCCGAAGAGGAAGATCTAAATCCGACACCAAGTCCGCTCCCAACAACTCGCCTGGAGTTCGAACATCTCACGCGCGACGATCCGTCCACGCAGTTTGTTACTCCACCGCGGAACAACAACGCTCCTTTGTTTAGCGAGGTGGTCAACCATCTGCCAATGTTCGGATCTGGACAAGCGGAGCATGAAACCCCGGCAGTTGACGATCGCCAAAATCCGCTGTTAACACCCCCGCTCTTCCGCGGATCACAAGGCCATAGTTCGAACTGTGCTAATCCGCCAACCGACAGGCGATCTAACGAAGAACGGATTGCTGATGACACTTTCCAAACCGGAAGTCAGCATCAAGGAAACACGCGCAATAAGAAGCGCGCAGAGGACCCTCCAAAGATCATAGATCCGCGATCTATAAACAACTTCGATGCGCTCCAGCGATACATCGAATCAAACAACGCCGAGCTAAAACATATGTACGCCGCAGTACATAAAGCAACGAGTACGGCTCGCATAGCTAACGCTAAGATCAAAGAGACTGGGGAAAATGCGGTTCCCAGAATATAATGGAACAGCAGATCCCTTAGCTCACCTCAGAGCTTTTAGGCTCTCCGTAGCCCGAGCTCATCTCAACGATGAGGAAAAAGAGCTTTTAGGCTCTCCGTAGCCCGAGCTCATCTCAACGATGAGGAAAAAGAAGCAGGTTATTGCCGGCTCTTCGCCGAAAATTTAGTCGGATCCGCCCTAGAATGGTTCGCCGGACTAGAAGAGGGATCCATAGACAATTTCCAACAGCTCGGCTCGGTCTTTCTTAAACACTATTCGGTGTTTATAACCTCTAACGGAATCCGACCTCTGGACATGCAGACAGAACCACCAGGAACCCCTGCGGGCTTACTTGGCTAGGTTCAAGGAAATTAAGTCCAGAATTGCCGACTTGAACGAGGGAGTTGCACTCTCCGCGCTCAAACAAGGGCTATGGTTCGACTCCCCCTTCAGACAAGAACTATCAGTTCGTTGTCCAGAAACAATAGACGACGCGCTCCATAGAGCCGCGAGCTTCGCCCAATACGAGGAGGAACAGAATACCCTCCGAGAACAATATGAGGCAGGCTTATTACTGCCTAATCCCGCCACTGCCAAAAAGGCCGCCAAAAAGGAGCCCGGCGGCAAAGGGATACATGCTTTCACAATAGGAAGTTCGTCTAAAAAAGAGTCGAAAAAGAGAAAAAATCGACCTATGATGCGAGCAAATTCTGCACCCATCAGAACAAAAAGAGACATTCCACAGAAGAATGCCGCACAGTCTTAGCCGAAAAGGCTAAACTCACCGCGAAGGCCGCAGAACAAGAGAGGGAGCCCACAGAAAAAAACGAAGAGCCGGAAAACTCAAAAACTTTAAACAAGAAAAGAGATCGAGCTCGCACAGATGAAAATTCGAGCTCTCCCCCTCCAGGCCCTAAAAAGAGAATAGACCTCATATTTAGGGGAATAACTCGGTGCGGAGGATCTATGAAATCTGTGATCTCACCTCCGCCCGCCCCTAAAAAGGATGTAAAGCCACAAACCAGCAATCCGCTTCTGGAAGCTCGTAAGCCTGCAAAACCGGAATTTCCCAAATTCCAGGGAGTTCTGGAGCTCTTCGAGCGACCTAGACCTAAACGTATAAATTTTATATCCGGAGGCTCCAAATATTTCCGAAATTCGGTAAACTCAATAAAAGCCTACCAAAGAAGGGTTGAGACCGATATGCGGGAGCGCGCTCCCCTACAGGGTCCCAACCACAAAGTAGTTTTCCTGGAAAGCGAAACACTCGATTTAGGCAAACTACACGACGACGCTGTAGTAGTTCGTCTCGATGTTGGGGGGTGCGAGCTATCCAGGATAATGATTTACACCAGGAGCTCGGTCGACGTGTTATTTTATAATGCATACAAACAAATGGGCTTTGGTGACGACACACTCTACGGCACCAGATCGCCGCTAACTGGCTTCACAGGCGAAACCACCTATTCGATGGGCACCATCACACTCCCGGTAGTAGCCGGCGGAGTCCAACAACTGACAGTTTTTGAAGTTGTAGACTGCTCCGCCCCCTACAATGCCATACTAGGAAGACCATGGCTCTATAACATGAGAGCAGTGCCTTCCACGTACCATCAATGCGTGAAGTTCCCAACCGCTGAAGGAGTTAAGACAGTCCGCGGGAGCCAGCGGGCTTCCAGAATGTGTTATGACCGGACACAAGCAGATCGAACAATCTCCTTTGTAGCAACTACAGAAACAAGAAGAGCTCACCGAACAGCGAGCAAAACGGGAAAATGACCCCACGATTCGCGGTCCACGCAAGGATCTCGTCATCCCGATCTGTATTGACGAAAAACACTCCGACCGAGTAGTCAACATCGGATCAGAACTCTCGAGTTCTGTCTGCGACGAGCTCATAAAATTCCTCAAAGAGAATATTGCAACCTTCGCATGGTCCACAGAGGACATGCCCGGGATTGATTTGCAGATAACTTCCCACGAACTAAACGTCAACCCGACTTTCAAACCCGTCAAACAAAAACGCCGCAAGCTCGGTCCAGATCGAGCCAAAGCAGTAAATGACGAGGTGGACCGACTACTCAAAGTCGGTTCAATCAGGGAAGTTAAGTACCCGGACTGGCTAGCTAATCCGGTTGTTGTTAAAAAGAAAAACGGGAAGTGGAGAGTCTGTGTAGACTTCATTGACCTAAACAAAGCATGCCCCAAGGACAGCTTCCCGCTCCCTCACATAGATCGGCTGGTAGAAGCTACAGCGGGACATGAACTACTATCGTTCATGGATGCCTTCTCAGGGTACAATCAAATACTTATGAACCCTGAAGACCAAGAAAAGACCGCGTTCATAACAGACCGCGGTACATACTATTACAAAGTAATGCCATTCGGTCTAAAGAACGCGGGAGCTACTTACCAGCGTCTGGTTAATAAAATGTTTGCCAAACAGCTCGGCAAGACCATGGAGGTCTATATCGACGACACGCTCGTCAAATCTTCAAAAGAAGAAGACCATGTTGCACAGCTTAAAGAATGCTTTGCAATATTAAATCAGTACGGAATGAAGCTCAATCCGATTAAATGCTCGTTCGGAGTACCATCCGGAGAATTCCTTGGTTACATAGTAACAGAAAGAGGAATAGAAGCAAATCCTAAACAGATTGCAACCTTTCTCGAAATGCCGTCCCCCAAAACTACGAGGGAAGTTCAAAGTTTAACAGGGAGAATAACAGCCCTTAACCGTTTCATTTCGAGATCGACTATGGAAAAGCTAGCCCTAGCGGTTGTAATGTCTGCCAGAAAGTTGCGACCATACTTTCAATCACACTCCATAATAGTAATGACCTCCCAACCCCTTCACACTATATTGCACAGTCCTAGCCAATCCGGACGGCTCACGAAGTGGGCTATCGAACTAAGCGAGTATGATGTAGAATACAAGATCCGGAACTGTGCAAAAGCCCAGGTCTTAGAGGACTTTGTTATTGAGCTCAACCCAGACTCCGACGATGCAACATCATCCAGTCAAAAGTGGACGCTCCACGTGGATGGTGCGTCATCAAAACACGGCTCTGGAGTCGGAATCAAACTTGTTTCCCCAAAAAACGAAGTTCTCGAACAGTCTTTCTGACTAGGATTCCAGGCCTCTAACAATGAGGCCGAATACGAAGCTCTCATAGCCGGTCTCAGGCTGGCTCTCGGGATAGGAGTCCGAAAAATAAGCGCATTCAGCGACTCACAGCTCGTAACCAGCCAATTTTACGGCGACTATGTAGCAAAAGACGAACGAATCGAAGCATACTTAGACGTTGTTCGCCAAATAGCAAATCAGTTTAGCTCATTCGAGCTAACCAGAATTCCCCGGGGGGAGAATACCTCCGCTGATGCCCTGGCAGCCCTAGCATCCACCTCCGACCCAATGGTCAAAAGGGTGATTCATGTGGAAGGAATCGAAAAACCAAGCATTGACTTATCTCCCAAGGCAGTCAACGTGGTAACCTCCTCTGACGAGGCCGGGCCATCCAACAGACCCAGACCAGAGGTTACGACCAGTCAGCCCGACACTCCGGTCAATGATTTACCCAACTCCAAAAACCAATCCGCCCATCCAGAGTCCAAAGACGAACTGGATGATTGCGAAGAATTCCTAGATAGACCAGACTGGAGGACCCCGATTATGGAGTATATCCAGAACGGTATAGCTCCCACCGACAAATGAGCAGCAAGAAAGCTAAAAGCTCAAAGTGCTCGATATAGCATAATGGAGGGTAAACTATACAAGCATAGCTTGACAGAACCCTACCTTCCGTGCGTACACGGTATCGAGGCCCTGACAATTATGGCCGAAATTCACGAAGGAATGTGCGGAAGCCACTCCGGAGGACGAGCTATGGCAGTCCGCATCAAAAGACAAGGTTATTTTTGGCCTACTATCATTGCAGACTGCGAAAACTATGCCACGAAGTGCGACAAATGCCAAAGACACGCACCGATGATCCATCAACCAGCTGAAAAGCTATCCTCGATATCCATGCCCTACCCATTCATGAGATGGTCAATGGATGTAGTAGGACCACTAGTGGTCTCAGGACGCGCTAGAATCCGTTTCCTACTCGTCCTAACTGACTATTTCACCAAATGGATAGAGGTCAGAGCTTACCAACAGATCACCGGAAAGGAAGTCGAAAATTTTGTCTGGAAAATCATTGTCTGCAGACACGGCCTCCCCTACGAGATCGTAACGGACAACGAAACGAACTTGACATCGAGAAAGTTCGCGAGGTTCTGTAACATTTGGAAAATTAAGCTTACATCCTCCACACTCCGATACCCACAAGGGAACGGGCAGGCAGAAGCCGCTAATAAAACAGTCCTAAACAACCTCAAGAAGAGGTTGGATTCAAAAAAATCTCGGTGGAGCGACGAGCTCCCTGGGGTACTTTGGGCGTGTAGGACTACACCCCATCGAGCTACGGGAGAAACACCCTTCTCTCTAGCCTACGACATGGAGGCTGTTATCCTGGCTGAAGCATCGGTACCAAGCATCCGTCGGACCTTTTGTCCAGACAATGGAGAATTCAATGAAGAAATGCTAAGAGATCGGCTAGATATGATCGAAGAACAACAAGATAGAGCCCTAGTCCGTTTCCAGAATTATCAGCAGGCCGCAGCTCGCTATTACAATTCCGGAGTCAAACACAAGAGCTTCAGTATTGGCGACCTCGTGCTACGCAAGGTATTCGACAACACTAAGGAGCGAGGCGCCGACAAGCTAGGCACAAACTGGGAAGGCCCATATAGAGTCATCGAAGTAGTGCGTAGCGGCGTTTACAAGCTCGCGAACAACAAAACCGGAGTGCCAGAGGCAAGACCATGGAACGTCTTGAACCTCAAATGTTACAATTTCTGAGCATTGATAACAATCGAACTACGTTCAGGCTTTGCTGTTGTATGGAACAGCTTCTGTGAAGACATCTTTGTTGATATTAGCAAATGAAATCCTCCGGTTTGGCCAGTCCATTATAGCTCCGGAAGTTGCTAGAAAAGACCATCCCAGAATCACTGGATATGTTGCATCTCTCGTTTTGACAATGTAGAAGTCGACAGGCACTATGCAATCTCCTATTCTCAAAGGAATTTCATGAGCTATTCCTTGAGGTGTTGCATTAGAATCATCAGCTAGGCTAATCTTTGCTCTAGTCCTGCGCAGGTGTTTGATACCAAGTCTCAAAGCAATTGCCTTGGACATCATGTTAAGACAAGCTCCAGAATCACATAGCACGTTTTTAAACATTTTTCCTCTAATAGAACAAGAGATAAGAAACTGACCTATACCTTCTATTTTATGAAGTGTTCGAACAGGTTTACCTCTTCTGGCATGATTGAACAAGTCTTCTATCTCAGGGATTGATTCATTGCTCTCACAGAAGTAGTGGCCTATCATGAAGTCCTTGCAAGCTCTGGCAAACGTGATTCCTTCAGGTAAGTTTCGAACCACATCATTGAATTCATCGAGCTTCTCCTTGCTGATTTTGTTGGTGTAGTGGCTACAGTCTTCCGGTCTTTGGAGGTGGATTGAATAAACAGCAGCATCAGGTGATGTTCTGGGAAAAGTCAGACGCCTGGCCCTCCCAAAGTAGGTTCGAATATCATCCTTTGTCTCCTTGCTGTACCTAAAGAAAACTTGCAAACAACCAAGATGCCATATATCATCGAAACCTGTGTAAAGAGGGATTGATTTCACAAACTTGTTGAATTCAATGAGCCTTTCTCTGGAGATTGGTGCTCCTAATTCCACCTTTTTGTTTGGATTCCCTCCTTTTATGAACAGACGATAGTCTTCATCTTCGAGGTAGTGCCCTTCATATTCATCTTCATATGCTAAGACTATATTGCAAGGGAGTACCTCATTTTCTTCTTGAGATGTTTTGGAGTTGATAGCATACACCGTCTGCTCCTGAAGAGGGGTTTTGACCATCCCAGCAGATGTATCAAATGAGCATTGACCTGTAGGAGTTGAAAAGGGCTGAAGGGCATCTGAAGGAGTGCTGGCCGCGGGTAGAAGCTCCACGACCGCGGGTGAAGAGGGCTTTGCCGCGGTCAGGATGCTCACGACCGCGGCTGGAAGCTTGTTGGCCACGGTCACGTGAGTTCCGACCGCGGGAATGGGGCTCCGAGTTATTTCTTCAGTTTCGTCTGCTCCTCTGCCATCTGAACTGATTTCTGCAAATTCTAACTCCGTCTTCTCCTCTTTTAGGCTAAGATCTTCGATGAGAAGCGTCGAACCATTCGTTTCACATCCTTGCATAAGCTTTTCGACCTTCTTTTCGATTTCGTTGAGGGTATAGACTACTTCGTCCACAGTTGAGTCTATTGTCTCTGCTTTCTTTTGAACCTTGTGTACTCCATCCCAAATCTCTTCCACATAGGAATAGGTTACGTTGTTGTGGTAGTTAATAGTCTCTTCTGCTTCACCAAGTTTGAGCTCTAAGGTGCGGATGCTCCAACCGGCTTTGCGAATGCGAACTTCGTGTGCTCCAACTTTTTCTTCGATTGCTTTCATCCTCTCCTGGACGGTTTCAGCACCTTCGTTTAGCTGGCTTTCGACGGTTTTGACTTGAGCTGAAAGATCTTCAAGCTTTCTGTTAAAGAGTATTGACAAGTCGTCAATTCTCTTGTCAATTGTGGATCTTGCTTGAACGTCGAGTAAGTGCGAGACCGCCAATTCTAGTAGCTCCAATCGGTGAATGGGTTTGACGTTTTCATTCTTATGAGGCAAACGACGAGCAGGTTTTTCAGGGTTGGCCATTTGAGGTGCGCAGGGTTCCTTCTGGGACGTTCTGTTGTCTTCGCTTTGAGTTTCTTCGTAGAGATCGCGTAGATGCTTCTCTCTGCGTCTGGTGGCTTGAGGAGTGTTATAGAAACCTTCCTCATTTTGTTTATTTCGATTTATAGGATCCATATCTTCTGAAATGGAAACAAAATAACCGAAAAATGGAAAGTTGTAGAAAAGGGGGTTCTAGAGTCGATTTACTAACCTTTCTCGGGGTTTTGCAGAAAAGAAAACGCGTGCCTTCCCCGGCAACGGCGCCAAAAACTTGATGTTGGTGTGTTGTGGGTGTCAAATTTTACCCTAATTGAAATCAATAGCCGCAAGTGCACAGCTGATCGATTGTAGTACTTAGGGATCGAATCCACAGGGAAGGAGGATCTTTTCCTGCAAAAAGCCTTTGAAATAAGTTAAAGTAAGGAAGTCTAGAACAAAAACGGTTTAGTACGGGTTTGGTAGTGTGTTTAAAATCTAAAAACGAAATCTTAAAAGAGAATACGGAAATTAAATGGCGTAATAACTAAACTTAACGAAAATGACTAAAAATGATAAAAACGGATATTCTAATGCTTAAATGAAAATGAACTAAAAAGGAAAGACAATATTGAACTAAAGCTTGAAAGAAAATCGGTGTAAATCAATGGAGAAGAAAGCGTTGGGGTTCAGGGAAGTTTTCTCAGGGGTACGAACGATTCAAAACATTGCTAGAGAGTAAATTGATAAGATCTTAGCTTAAACTTTTCGAACTGGAGTCACGGACGTATGAATACGCCACTGTCGTGATCATAGACAACTATCTCTCTCAACCCTGACCAGTATGTTTCCACTCTAGCCCTGGAAGAGAAGAGATGCATTATGTTTAAGACTCGTCCTAATTCACAAATCGCCCATAGGTAGGTTTCCACTCCTATGTTTGTTTTGCTCTCCCAAACTAGATCTGATACCTGATGAACACTTTCGTGTCACCAAGCATCTGGATCAGATTGTAGTTCATGACGCTACTCTCATGCAGTAAAAACGAATTCAGAAGAAAAAGTTCTAAGATTCAGCTCAATAGCCAATGGAATCCTCACCGAACATATATATCCCCATAGAAAATCCCTTAATCCCAACAATTAAACTACTCAGACATAATGAACGAAATCAAAGACATAATATTAAGAAGTAGAATAGAAACCGAAATTGATAAAGAAAGGACAAGAGTTCAAGAGAACAAATCTCTCTCTCCCTAAAAGCTAAAGCAAAAACAATAAAAGTATGAAGTAATGATAGATGGTATTCGGTTCCACGATTTCTAGGGCTCCTAAGACATGTATTTATAGTGCTCAAGACCTCTCTGGACGTCACTTAGGGTTTCTCCAAATGTGGGCTTCAGAAATGGGCTTTTTGGGCTTAGAGTTGGCTTGCCGCGGTCGGGAGTGCTCTGACCGCGGGGAATGTATGGTTTGCCGCGGTCGGGATGCTCCTGACCGCGGGAAATTGCTTGTTGGCCGCGGGTGGAAGTGCTCGCCGGCTGGTTTACGGGACATCTTGTCTTCGCGTATCTTTTGATTGAACCGTTGGATTGCCAATCTGTAAAGTGCACTGGAAAGCTGATACTTCCATCTTTAAGGTCTCCAAATTTGAGCTGGATCAGACGGTGAGAAGGCCTTCAATCAGGGGTGAACTTCTGACGGTTTGACTCTGAGCTGAAATCTGGTTTTCTATCCATTTTGTTAAGCTTTTCCCTAAGTTACCTGAAAAGAGTCTTGGAACTACAAATACTAGAAAAACGTAATAAAAGTACTTAAAAGCAATTGAAAACATAGAAAAAGTATTTCAAAACGATCCATAAAAGTGGTCAAAATACGGTGTTATCACGTAACAAAAGTACTAAAAATACGAAAAAAACAATGCGAAAAGCCTTATAGGCGAATCAAGTTCACAAAAAAAAAAAAAGAGAGGAGGGGCTAAAGAAAAAGGAGGATTACTCCTTGGGCTCGTTCTCGCGTCCGTCTTTCTCCATCGGGTCCGCCGAGTCATCTACCAGCTCATCTCCACCTCCAGCAGCGGCGTTACTCCCGAACTGATTAAGCCCGAGCGGAACCTGTGTCTTCGGATCAATACTCCATCGGCCTCACTGACGCCTCCGAGATCTGCGGGAGATCGAGTTTAGCAAGAGAAAAGTCAGACACCTCCGCATCAGCATGCTTCTTAGTAAGGTCAGGAATTTTCTCTTCGAGGCGCGCTTTTTCGTCCGGAGCTGTGATAGCCCCACTGATCAGATCCTTGATAAGGTCCAAGTTGGATTCCACCTCTTGGAGCTCGGCCTCGCACGCAGCCTCGACCTTCTTCTTTTCCCATTTGTCTTTGAGCGAGTGAAAGATGGCCAGATACTTCTCAGCAAACTCCCGCTTTGCCTCCCGAACAGCCCGCCTGACCCTCGTATCAACCTCATCCTTAAGCTCACGGACCTGCTCAGTCAGGTCGTCAGCACGCCGGCTCGCAGGATCCGCCAACGTCTTCGCAGAGCGAAGCTGGACCTCCAGACGTCTCTCCTTGTCTTCCGCGTTCTTGACCTTTGACGAAAGGTCGAACACGGTCTTCTTCATCTCCTCAAGCTCGTTGGAGGTGGGCACGGTTAGAGACTTGTCCTCGAGTACGGCAGAGTACTCGTTAACAGCCTCAAGAGCCTGACCAAAGGAACGCCGTTAGTATGAAAGCATGCTAAATAATAATAAAAAATAAACATAACGGTGAAAACACCAACCCGTCCATGAGCAGCCATCATTTTCACGTAGGCAGCACGCTCTGGCATGTCTCGAACTGGAGGGAGCACGCAGCCCGGAGGTTTGAAATGCCGAAAGATGAAAGCTACTCCCTCGGGGTCATCAGCGATGAGGCACCCTTTAGTATGGTTGAAAGTCCAACCATACAGGATTGTTCCCCCCGATCCATTCGAGGAATTCGACCTCCTATCTGGAGCCAGATCCTCCACCCTCTGCTTCTTCGGACGTGAAGTCCTCGCAGAATCCCGCGAACTAAGCGAGATAGCTCTGGACGACGGGTCAGCAGGAAGACCTCCGGCTAGAGTTTCATAAGCTCCGGAGGCTTGTTCGAGCGCGTCACTCACAGCTCGGTGGATCTCACCGGTGCGAACGGGTTCGGAGCTCCCAGCCTGAGCCCTGCTCTTCCTCGCCTTCTCGGCCTCACGAGCTAACGGTCTTCGAGTAATTTTCCCTTGAGATGGCTTGCGGATCAGAGGTTGATGCGAGGTGCTTGAAGAAGTAGCGTCTGGGACTTCCTGACGGCCGGTACCTAAAAATGAAAAATAATGAACTATGTAACAGCTCGCCAAATCGAATGCGTAGTTCAGACAAAATAAAAACGCTCGAACTAACCGATCGGGATTTGGTGAAAATTAGCCGGACGATTGATAGAAGGCGGGTTCAACGGATCGATCTCGAGATTCGGAGCAACAGCGGGCTGCGGAGTGTCGGTCTCTAGCACGCGACGAATTCTCTCGCTTGTAAAAGTATGTCACGAACAATCGCCGTTTCGCAGAGCAGCAAGTAGCGGTTTGTCTAAGCCCGTATTCATCGGAACAACTGCAACACAAAAGAAGTAACAGTTAGCAAAAGGCTTAAAGCGTGAATAAAATTTACTCCCCTAATGATAACCAACTCTCGGAGACCAGACAGTAGGTAGCCGACTAAAATCGAAGGACCCGACGGAGTGTTCGTTGATCCTGAAGAAAATATATTTTTCTTTCCAGCGATCATCGCGGGCAGGGACGTCTTTGAAGATGCTTCGATTTTTCCGGGGAGACAAATAGAACGACCCCGGAAAGGATGAATTGCTCTTAATAGAGCAAACTCGGTGAAGCTCGTTGATTCCAAAGGGAATTCGGGACTCTGCCGCTCTAATTAGCAGCGCTAGGGCATGACGGACGAAATTAGGGTTCATCTGCGGGAACGCCAACTGCAGATCCGCCAGAATAACGAGAAGTCCCAGCGGAATCGGGAAGGAAAGCCCGCAAGCATCGAAGAATGGGGTATATGCGACGCAATAACCTGCGCGAACAGCTTTTGGCGTCTCCCCTCTGTCCGGAACGATGAGTTCGATCGCGGAGGAAATGTCGTGAACTCGGCGGAGGCGAGCAAGCTCCTTCGGTGAAACGATCGAGATCGCTGGGACATCGGGATGCTCCATCAGAGAATGTTTGGGGAACATAAGTTTTCTCAAAGCGAAATTTTTGCGAAAATAGAAAGGAGTTTTCTCGAGCAAAGGAAATCGAGGAAAACTTAATACAGAATAGAAAAGGAGATGAGAAGTTACCTTGTAGCAAAGTGGAGGCGTGCAGTTATGGTGAAAGACGTGGGAAGTTGATCCTTATAAAGCAGCAATTATTACTGCTATTGAGATTGACGAAATTCTCGCAAAATCATATCTGAACCGCTCATTCCTATCTGCGAACAAGATTTCACCATATCCTAATAAGATTCGAATACATCGTATCGAGGAAAATCTTAGCCTTGATGATTAAATAAATCTCGGCCCTTCATTTGTGGGAGAAACGATCCGGACCGTACGGATAAAAACTCAAAGGAAGATGGAAAATCGAAGTATTTCATAATTAATCCGCCCCTTTAGTTCGCAGCTCACTAAACGGGCTGGGGGCAAATGTTGGTGTTGGATTTAGCACAAATCCGGCCCATACTTCGAATGAATTACCACATCAACCTTTTTGGGCTTCAAGGCCCATAACGAAAGGAGAAAGGATCTTGGAAGGATATTCGATAGGACGTGACGAGCTATGAGGACGAGAAATCATGGATAAGAGGAAATCCACAAATATCTCGGAGAGTTGGAGATCGCAACGCCCCGTAAATCCCGAAGTAGTTCGAGTCAGTCTACTTAGTATAAATAGGATATCGCTTCTATGTAAAAATCCATCCAATTTTTAGCTAGAAACATTCTTGTAAACTTATAATCTCATCAATACAATCCAAATTCGTCGATCTTAGTCTTTTACTTTACATCGCTCTTACCAGAATTCTTGCCCTAATTCTTCTTCCACTAAACCAGAAATTCACTCGAGTAAAGCTCCGGGACCTGACGGTTTCTCAGCTGGTTTTTTTCACACATATTGGCCCATTATTAGGGAAGATGTTGTGACCAAAATCCAGAAGTTCTTTACTTCAGGCCCCTTCCCCGCTCGACAAAATGAAGCATATGTCAGACTGATACCCAAAATATTGGGTCTAAGAAAAGTCGCTGATTATTGTCCGATCGCGCTTTGCAATGTGTACTACAAGATTGTAGCGAAGATTTTCACGAAAAGGCTTCAATCCATTCTCCCACTCCTCATTACTGAGACTCAATCCACATTTGTTCCAGGCAGAGTGATCTCTGACAACGTCTTGATCACTCATGAGACGCTCCACTACCTGCAAACTTCAGAAGCCAAAAAAAGTTGCTTTATGGCTGTGAAAACGGATATGAGCAAGGCATATGATCGGATTAAATGTGATTTTCTACGAGCGGTGCTTGCAAGACTCGGCTTCCATGAAAAATGGATCTTGTGGATTATGGAATGTGTCAAGACGGTCTCCTATACTCTCCTCATTAATGGCGGACCTCAGGGATATGTACAACCATCTCGTGGCCTGCGACAAGGGGATCCTCTCTCACCGTATCTGTTCATCCTCTGTACTGAAGTTCTAGCCAGAATGTGCCATAGAGCTCAGGAAGACGGATCTCTCGAGGGTATCAAAGTATCGAGGAACAGCCCTCCGGTAAATCATCTTCTGTTTGCAGACGACATGATGTTCTTCTGCAAATCAGACCGGAGTAGCTGCAACACTCTTGTGTCTATCTTTAGAAGATACGAATCCGTCTGGGGAAATGTATTAACTTCAGCAAATCTTTGATTTTCTTCTCAGGAAAAACGCCTAGATTTTAGAGGATTGCTGCTCGACAGACCCTCAACATTCACAATGAAGGTGGCACAACAAGTACTTAGACTGCCTGAGAACTTTGGACGAACGAAAAAAGGATATTTTTGCTGGTATCTTCGACAAAATTCAGCAGCGATCACATAGTTGGACCTCCAGGTTTTTTTCTGCGGCTGGTAAACAAGTCCTCCTCAAATCAGTACTTTCTGCTATGTCGTCGTACACAATGTCTTGCTTCAAGCTCCCAAAATCGCTGTGTAAATAGATTCAGTCGGTTCTCATGAGATTCTGGTAGGACACTAACTCAGACATAAGGAAAATGGCCTGGGTGTCATGGACAAAACTCACTGTACCAAAAAACGCAGGAGGATTGGATTTTCGGGATATCAAAAACTTGAACGACTCCTTGCTGGCTAATTTGGGTGCAAGACTCATTTCTCACCCTCATGCATTAGTTTCGAGAGTTTTGCTAGGGAAATACTGCGCTAACAAACCATTTTTGGAGTACTCACTCACCTCTAATCCGTCTCACGGCTGGCATGGGATAATGGCAGGGAGGGATATTCTGCGTCGAGGCATGGGCTGGCTTATAGGAATCCATAAATATATGGACGGACCCCTGGCTTAGTTTAGAATTTCCCATGCGACCCTTCGAACCCACACCCCTAGCTTCCTCGCATCTTCGAGTTGCTGATCTGATCAACCATGAAACTCAGACGTGGGATTGGCAGAGAATCCGTGAGATTCTTACAGACTACGAGCACCTCATTTGCCTGCTATCGCTGAGTGTGTTCCGTCCATCGGACAAGCTGATCTGGCTACCGCAGAAAAATGGTAAATACATGGTGTGATCAGGATACAGGATCACAATGTCAGAATCGATCCCGGATGGAAAAAGGAACTTCAACTAGCAAAGGAATATCTGGAACTTGCGCATTGCTCCTAAAGTTAAACAATTCCTCTGGCGATCTGCAGCAGAAGCTCTTCCAGTGAGAGTTCATCTTGTTCGTCGAGAAATTCAAACCGACTCCGGATGTAAGCTTTGTGACAATCCAGAGACAATCACTCACGTCCTGCATGACTGTCAGTTTGCGAGGGAGGTGTCAAACTTAGCTCCACTCAAATCTCATCCTCACTTGAATACTGTCCTGACCTTGGATTTCCTCTCCCACATTCCATCTCTCGTGAGCCTCCCACCAACAGGAACAGCCTCGACGTCGCTTCCTGCATGGATCTGCTGGAATATTTGGACAGCTAGAAACCGTTGTATCTTCTTTGATACGAACTACTCTGCTATAGATGTAGTCACCAAAGCCATGAATGAAGCAAGAATCTGGAAAGAGGCCCAAAGCTCCCTCCGCAAGACTCCGCCCCGAAGCAAAGAACGCCATCACCTCCGCCTCTGTCAAATATTGTCTGCAATGTTGATGCGGCATGGCGAGCAGACTCACAGACCTGTGGTATGAGCATCGTATCAAAATCAAGAGACGAGGAACAGCCGACCTGCTTCTCCAGCTCTTGGGAGTTTGTTCCATGGGCTATCGCAGCAGAGGCTTGGGCAATCAGGGAAGCTTTGATGCTTGCTATCGATAATGGGTTTGAGGAAGTTCAAGTGCAATCAGACTCTTAGTCTTTGATGAAGCTCCTCAACTCCTAGGAAATGCACACAGATATTCAAGCAATTGTAAACGATATTCGCCATTTGACGATATCTTTTTCTTTGATTTCGTTCAGTTTTGTCCCTCGTACAGAAAATGGCGAGGCAGACTTGCTGGCTAAAAAAGCCCTTCAAGCTCTTATGTATTTGCAGCAGTGATGAATGAAATTTACAGTTTGACCAAAAAAAAAATTATGATGATAATTAAAATGTAGTAAATAACTTAGTCCATTTTTTGTTCTCTTTATCTACCTATTTTGATGGATAGGCTCTAAACAAACTATTACTAGTTTTTAGCCCACAATAATTGACTATGACTGACGTTATTCTTTAAAATCTTTGAATTAGTCAAACATCATTTCTAGGAAATCACTATAAATATCATGGAACTAAAATTTTTTTAAAGGCAAAATAAGAAAAATGTTATCACACTATTTTTTATAGAAGAGTCGATCAAACTTGCAAATCTGATGGCATCATCATCTTTTTCACGTAAGGTAATGTATATTACACATAGCTTTAAAATCTACTGATACTTTTATTGTATCTCAATAAATTTACGATGTTGTTTATAGTTTAAATAAATATTGAATTTCTTTTTTTCTTTTAAATATAGGTATTGTTATGGAAAATAATTGAAGACGAAGAAAGTGATGAGCTCTTACTCGAAATAGAGAAAACTAATCAAGATAAGAGAGTCATCCGGCCTTTGTGTGCACATCCAGACCGTGGACGGCAATTTCTTCATGATATAATCAATGGTCATCCAGATAAATGCCTCAATATGTTAAGAATGTGGTCGGTTGTCTTTACTAAATTATGCAGTGATCTTTCAGATATGTATGGGTTGCGCGACACATATAATATGTCTGCAATGGAAAGTGTGGCTATATTCCTACACATGTGTGGACATAATATAATAGAACGGACTGCAATGCATACATTCGGACATTCGGCCGAGACCATCTCTAGAAAATTTCATGAAGTATTAGGTGCAGTCGTATTGATGGCCATTGATATGTTTACGCAGGATCCGACGACTCTTATGCAAGTCCATCCTAAGTTGAAAACTAAGAAGTGCTTCTCTTGGCCTTTTTAAGGGATTTGTTGGTGCAATTGATGGAACACACATTTCCGCCATGGTGTCTGGACGAGATAAACGAAGATACTTGAATAGGCATGGAGATCCAACTATGAACATCCTTGCCACATGTGACGCAAGCATGATTTGTACATCCATTTATGTTTGTATTCTAGGATCTGCACATGACTCCAAAGTTCTCTCGCTTGCTATGGAAAATGATCCTATTTTTCCACATCTACCAGAGGGTAAATATTACCTTGGAGTCAGGATATGCATTACGCCGTTGATTTCTTTGCCCATATAAAGGAGATAGGTATCACCAAAAGCAGTTCGTTGGCAAGCCAGAAAAAAAAACTACAGAAATTAATCGTCGTCATTCATCAGCTTGAACTATCATTGAGTGTTCTATTGGGGTATGGAAAAAATGGTGTGTCATGAAAGATAAAGCTAGATATAATGTATCTATGATGCGAAAAATTGTTGTGGCAACCATGGCCCTCCATAATTATATTCA